TAAAACTAGTTTAACTTGGCAGAAAATCTCCCTAGCTATCATTCTGTGGCATGTATAAATTAGAGACACAGAAGTTCATGGTTTGTGCCAAACTGGCACAAACTCACACAGTGACTATAAAAAACCCTTCTGCCCGAGGCTTGGTTTCCCTAGCAACGCATTGTTAGAGACTGAGGGCTTAATATTAGAATGTGTATTTCAAGAGGGTAAACTAAACATCCTATTCAGTTGAGTTGTAATGTAGGAATGTAGTGCACTGCAGGGTGTGGACTTTCATCTGCAGTTGTGACATGGCCAGAGAACAATCTATGAGTTATGTGAGAAGTTAATTAAATTGTTAAAATTAAATCAAAAAACTTTTTCAACCCCACATTAGTCAAGTTCATTGTGCCATTCCCATTAGGCTTTACATGGCATTTTATAGAACCCTACTATGATGACAAGGCTAGAGGTTAATAGAGGAGAACGTGGATGGTTTGATCTTAAAGCTGGAATGCTTCATGGCGAAACAGCCACGTCCGTTTGCGATAATACAACAAAGAAGTTACTGCAAACAACGAACACCGTTTTTCCCCTCTGACATCATTGGACGCGTGATAGCAAAGCGCAGTATGTACTGGGATTTTTTTTACCATATTGCGTGAAGCTTGGCAAAACAAACAATAACAACGGTGGTGGGGCGGCCAGTGGCGCTGTTTCCCTCTACTGAGGATTCCATCTTTAAGCCTGAGGGGAAAAACTGAGGGGAGGAAGATGGAAGGGCCATAAACTATTGCTTTGGGAGAAACAGTGTCTTTGTGTACACTAGAGATAATATATATATATATATATATATATATATATATATATATATATATATATATATATGTGTGTGTGTGTGTGTGTGTGTGTGTGTGTGTTTGTTTGTGTATGTGTGTTTGTGTGTTTGTGTGTTTGTGTGTGTGTGTGTGTGTGTGTGTGTGTGTGTGTGTGTGTGTGTGTGTGTGTGTGTGTGTGTGTGTGTGTGTGTGTTTGTTTGTGTGTGTGTGTATGTGTGCGTGCGTGCATGTGTGTGAGAGAGAGAGAAACAGAGAAAGAGAGAGAGAGAGAGAGAGAGAGAGAGACAGAGAGAGAGACAGAGAGAGAGACAGAGACAGACAGACAGACAGAGACAAGGCGAGAGACCTGCTCTGACACAGTAGCCCTGCCTCCCCCTAGCCTCCCAGCTTCCCAGCCCCAGGTCATATCACAGGATGATAGGAGATTCCTCCAAAACAAAGGAGTGAAAACTAATGGAGTTACATACATCAAAGTTGGGCAAGGTTTTGTTTCAAGATGTGTTATCACATAAATCAACTAACTATAGTAAACATATTTTAATCTAAACTTTTCAGAAAAAGAGTACTGTGCCCCAGTCCTTTATGATGAAGCACCATTACACCTTACTTTACTTTATATCACTTTAATAAACCTCAATGAACCACCTCTCTGGTAATGTATTTACATGGATGTTTCAACAACTGATGTTCAATTGAGCCCACAAATTTGAACAACCAAAGAATAAACTTCTTTCAAGATGTGTTCCGTATAATTTCTAAGAGCCCACAGTATGCTGTTTGTTCCTCACCGAGGATGCAAAGATGAATAAATCTCAAATATTTCCTCCTGAAATTCTCCTGCAATGGAACACATTGGTGTCTACATAAAGTCTGCATTGATAAATGCCGCTCGCTAGTTAGCCAGCTAGGAAATGAGCATAGCCAAGAATTACCTTTCGTAAACACTGAGGAATGCTGAATGTTGATTTTTTGGTTAGAGCAGAATGTAGCCTAATGCATATGCTTGATCACAGGTCAGACAACCACACAAACCTCACTTCTAAATCATGTCTATACACTCACCTCTATTTACAAGCTGAGAGGATGTGAGAGGATACATTACTGAGGATAATCGAGAGGGACAGATGTTGCTCCTGACCTTTTCATGACCTAACTAGGAAAAACTCTGGGCACTAATCTTAAGATGCTGTATGCCAAACAACCTTAAGGACATGACTGAAAAGAATGTGTGTGTGATAAACACACAAGGAACAGAAAATTTTTATTTATATAATAACAGTCTTAATGGAAAGCACACAGTAACTTCTCAGAAGAGCACTGGATGTCCTTTACTGTTGTTTTAAAGTGCAGTTGACTGAGACACAATGCCACTAAAACTGCAATCCATACAAACCCATAAACTGCACGGCCCACAAAGCAAATTCTTGCTCAGTTCACATGCTATGGGTATTTTACAGAGTTATAGTTGACCTTGGTTATTTGAAACAGAAACTTAGAAAGAATGCAAGTGTACTAAAAACAACATATCTTCTTTCATGTACAAAGTTCCAAGCAAAGGCATTCACAGAGGAATCTGTAAAAAATGTCCTAAGAAGCCAAAGGTCGGTGACACATGCATGCAAGCTTTAGGTTTCAACACTCTCTTAAGTCCTAAGTCTTTGAATAATTTCCTTTGTGGATTAGTGGCCAGCTATTGTCCTGAAGTCATCACATGTGTCCCATGATGAAAGGGCAACAGTCTCTAAAATGTCTCTAAAATGTAGGCGGAAATGTTCTCACCCCAAGCACCTACTTTGAGTCCCAATACCTCTCATCATCCCCCACCACAGTACCACACTAGTCTGTCGTCATGCCTAACATTAGACAGTGTGCGTCACAAATGGCACCCAATTCCCTCTATAGGGCACTACTTTTGATGGGCCCTGGTCAATAGTAGTGCACTATATAGGGTGCAATTTGGGACACACTCAAGTGTAATCTCAATCTGCAGCTGTGAGTCACCACCACCATCAGATGACTGTTTCCAGACGATAAGGTAAAGTGAAGTCTTCATTAAGGCTGTGCCTGCACCCAAATGGCACCCTATTCCCTACACAGTGCACTACTTTTTTACCAGAACCCTATGAACCCTGGTCAAAAATTGTGCACTACATAGGGAATAGGGTGCCATTTCGAACATAACCTGTGTGTGTGGAGGGATTTGCCTCAGCCTGGCTGTGTTTTACAGAGCTTCTGTGTGGAGCTAACCCCGCGTGCCCCATGACTTAGCGAATGGAAAAGATGAGTCTGATATTCTCTCAGTGAATATCACAGCTTGAGACATCACAAAGTGCTGAAGGCTGACTCCAGGCGTCTAGACCTCTACAGCGCAGCTCTCTGGAGCATTTTAACCTCTACGTTTTAAACCCCACCAGAGGAAGTGAACTGGAGGCATTTTTCCTCATCCTGTCACATTACAGGAGTTGAATAGCATTGGAATTTGACTCAAACTCGTAAACTGTGTATGGTCACTTCTCTGAAAAGCTAACCAAAGTACTTATTGAGGATATATGGTGTGGGCCAGGGGCGCAACTTTGGTTTTAGAAGTGGGGGGGACATAATATATAAATATATATATATATATATATTATTATTTATTTTTTGGGATAAACACTCCAAACAGTCTACCCGACCGCTCGGAGGTGTCCGCATAGTCCTAAAGCACACCGTTGCCTCGTTTTGTATCACATTCCAATGATAAAACTGGAGGGGACAGAAATGTCCCCCCCGTCCCCAGTGAAAGTTGCGCCCCTGGTGTGGGCTGTCAACCAAGTAACCCAGAATCACCCTGAAACACCCAGTCCTGGTGGGGCCATACTTGCAGAAATTAGAAAAAGTGTAAGTTTAAGGATAAGTGTAGGCATCAGCCAATTAATATAATTGACATAGTGTCACGTGACAGAATGCTACATTGTAGCTGGTCCCATCAGATAAACTGGCACACGTTAGCCCTAAGCTAACCTTACAAGGTGGCAGTGATTATTTCCCGTACAAATTCCTCAGCAGCCTATCAAACTTTTTCTCCACAAACCAATGGCATTTCTTAAAATAGGTCAACTCGACCACCAGAGGGATACATGTAAACTTTGAATTTGGAGGTGTCAGTCATCGCTGGAGTCAAATAGAGACATGATTTGAGCTGACTCTCCTGGAGAGTGCAGGTCTGCACTAACTCATAAAATTGGAATGTGAACTCTTGAGGGCCTGCAGTGAGTTAGCGGAACAACACATAACACTCTGCCTTTGGTGGCAATTAGCTGCAGGCTTATAGGGCATACAACTATGAGGTGCTCAATGAACCCTTTATGAGCCCAGTAGGTATGAGGTATGAATGCAACACCACATGATTAGTTAGTTTGTTCGTTCGTTTCTGGTAGCCTCACTTTCTCTGAAAAACTTATCGTAGGCTTCTGCACTTTACTTTGAAGTCATCATTGGGTTCACACTGTGATTTTGGCTTGACACTTTTTTCGAAAGCCACGTGTACTACTTATGTCGAAAGGTGTGTCAGCACTCTGCACAGAACAGCTCAATAACAAAAAGACCAGCTGTGAGGGCCTTCTTGGATGAGGAGTCAAGAGCCAAATGTTATGGAACATTACAGTGCAAGAATCGAAGTCAACAACAATGTCAACCAAAGCATCTAAAATGTAATTCTCTTCAGGGCCGTTTCCTGGACACAGATTAAGCCTAGTCCTAGAATCTCCATTGAAAACACTTCTTAGTCCAGGATTGGGCTTAATCTGTGTCCAGGAAACCACCCCTTTGTGTCTAACTTAGACAGGCTTCCAACTGTGCAAAAACTGGTTGAATCAACGTTGATTCCACGTGATTTCAACACAAAATGCAATGTTATGACATTGAATCAACATAGATTGGATTTGCAACAAGTCATCAACGTACGTGAATTACGTCTTTTTTTCACCCAATTTTTTACCTTCATCCAATGACATGGTGGCATTTTTGGTTGATTTCACATTGAATTCACATTAGTTGACAACTCAACCACATGTAAATCAAAACTAGATGTTGAACTGACTTTGTGCCCAGTGGGTTTGTAGTAGGCAGGTTGTTTACCTCCACATTATTGGCCATGGTGTTGATGAATTTAAATCCTGGAATCCTTTTGTCGCTGCACACCACGCCCACGTCCTCTGTGTGCTTGCAGTCGGAGACACCGATCCCGTTGGACGTGCACAGTGCCAGGGTCTTCTCTTTCCCAGTGCACTGGACATTGTCAAACCAGATGCGCCCTGAAAAAAAGCAGGATTCTCAACACATTGTAGATACATCAAGACCTCCGTAGGGAGGAATCTTTCTTTCACCTGACCAGTGGTAACTAGTGAGGCCAAACAGCGAAGCAACTTTGGCAAAGTGGACTGGACACTGGCAGCAATTCTGCTGCTGAGATTGTACACTCGCTACCTTATCCCTACCGTATCTCCGCTACAGATGTGGCTTATTCATTTTGGTGAAAGATGAGCCGGAACGTACTGTAAAAGCTTCACTGGGAAAATTGGTTAACACTGGCCAACAAAAAACATCCCTGAAAATAGAGTTAATGATTTCCCATTTCCCTTATCATTACATGCATAATGGGTTTAAGTGTAATAACGGACATCTTACCCTCTCCTTTCCCATATTTAGAGGACGGAGACCAGGAGACAGCCTCCAGGTAGCCCAACTCTCTGCACACCACCTGGGCAGAGTGGATAGAGAAGTCATCATCACAGACCGTGCCCCACTCGCCATCATAGAAAACCTCCACGCGCCCTTCGTTGTGCTTGCGCTTGTCCCCCGCCAAACGCAGCTGTATCCTGGGTGTGTCAGGTGGCAGCTCCGGGGCAGTGTACTGCTCCTGCTCTAGCTCTGGGTAGCCCTGTGGATAGCTGTGTGGGTAGCCTAGTTGTTCGTACTGGGCCTGGCACAGTTTTAACAGGCCCAGCAGGATGGTGAAGCAGCAGGGGAGCGACCAGGGGGCCAGCATGGTGGTGTCTGTCAAGTCAGACAGTAGACAGAAGAGGTTATCTGTGGGAGAGTAGAGAGTAGGAAGTAGGAAAATAACATTACTCATTTTTAAAAATCCTTTGGCTACTTTGTCATATGGTTTTTCACTGGGAGACTGGTGGTTGGAATTCAGCTAAAGAGGTACCCTACTTTCAAAATATTACAGTGACACCGATTGAGGCCATTATTAGGTGGGGGAACAGAGTTGTGGCATGATGTCATCAAGAGGCATGAAGTCACAGGGAAAAACACTGATTTACAGCATGTCCTGACTCCTGCTCCAAGGTACCCCTTGGAGCCTTCTGAGTCAGTAACAAAGAGCATTTAAACATGCATGGCCTATCCTCAGACCTGAGCAATAGTGGCTAAATCAAGTCATGGTCTTATAACCAGTATCAATTACATTCAAAGATATGCATTACAGATGGTTTTAATCAAACAGCATAACTCCTTTCAAGACTGCAGCAACATTTCACACAAAGCACTGAGCCATTCAACAATAAAGTGGCTTTCAAATTCTGTAAACTAAAGGCTATGTCTGTCTGGCAGTGGAAACTGGATCTTTCTATTTGCTAGCATTTTTCTTTTTTCCACCCTGTGACGTGGCAGTTGGTTACACAAGTTACAAGACATAGGTGTTACAAAATCAAGCCTAACAGCTGGCATCAAGCCTACAGGGTGTGCATCTCCACACAGCGGCACGTAGGCCTCGTAACCAGGCTGATGTTTTCTTAAACCATATGGATAAAGATCCACACAGAAGAAACAGTACTCTATGACTAATGTGATCTGGAATCTAGGATATATGAACCCCTATCTTTCATTTAAACTCAAGCCTGCTTCAGCACTCGAAGATTTAGGGGCTCAAAGTAGAATGCCGCCAGTACAGAATCACAAGGTAAAGATTCAAAAGTATGAGATGGACCACCCCATGAAATTGTGACCTCTTGGATCAAACAGAAGTCTCCTGGCAACAGCCAATCAAACAAAGCAAGGTAACCAGGAAGCTCTGGTTCCCTTTGGTCTTAAGTGAAAACCAATTATGTCCAGGCAGAGAAACTCAACACAGCAGCATCTATCAACCATCTAGAACGCTTATTTTACTGCTTTAAAAAAAGAAACACATTAATTCCATGCTGAGACATAGAATAATGGCACACTGGAGACAGCTAGACACATAACTACTACTGACTAGGGACAGCATGGCATCTGGGTCATAGGGAGGAGGTTCCGGGGTCAATATGTCAGGACAGAACAAAGAGCCTTCCTAATATCATGCTCAGACCGTTAGAATGTATAGAACGAACTGGATCATTCTAGATAGAAGAAGTACTGGAAGGGGTCTGTCTTATCATGCACTATCGGATGGCAATAGAATACTCTATAAATGCATTATACACAGGCAGCTCATAGAAAGTGTTACCAAACCATCAACTTGAATAGTTATTTCACTGTTCCTTCTAGGACAAGACAGTAAAGTAGAATCAAGCCAGAGAACTCCTTGCACATGCCATTGATTTACATGTAACTGCCAAAATAAAGGAAACACCAACATAAAGTGTCTTAATAGGGCGTTGGGCCACCATGAGCTGCCAGAACAGCTTCAATGAGCCTTGGCATAGATTCTTCAAGTGTCTGGAACTATTGGAGGGATGTGACACCATTCTTCCATGAGAAATTCCATAATTTGGGGTTTTGTTTATGTGGAAAACGCTGTCTCAGGCACCGTTCCAGAATCTCCCATAAGTGTTCAATTGGGTTGAGATCTGGTGACTGAGTCACACACTCACACAAGTCACACACACACACCCTTTAAACCCCCTATGGTCCTTTGAGACCCCTCTTTCAAAGTTACTGAGATCTCTTCTTCTAGCCATGGTAGCCAAAATAATGGGCAAGAATCTTTATATGTGACCCTATTAGCATGATAGAATGTCAATTGCTTAATTAACTCAGGAACCACACCTGTGTGGAAGCACCTGCTTTTAATATACTATGTATCCCTCATTTAAGTGTTTCCTTTATTTTGGCAATTATCTGTATATCACAGAAGAGCACATCCAGGTAATAATACACAATATAGCTGTATAACATTCTCTACAACCTAATTACATAGCTACTATAGGCTACAGAGACTGCAAGCACTAATCATCATTGGCAAGAGTGAGAAATCAGCTTGAAAACACTGTGCACCCTACAGCACACCTGGCACCCACATATCACAAACCCCACAACTATCCACACCTGGCATAACTCATATCAGAGATCCCACAATGCTGGCATCATCCTTGTTTGGGAACCATGTAAAACAAACTGTGGGGAATTCCATCTCAGTCATATCCTACAATATTACAGGCAAATAGAAACTTCTATAAACATTTGGTACAAATAAGACATCAAGCAGATCAACATGAAATCAAACTGCATTTGGTTATATGTGGCATATAAGGGTAAGCATAAACGCCTAATTTTACATGACAATCTCAAAGACCAAAAGTCAAACACATTTTTTCCAGTAATATCCTTAAATAACTGTTGCATTAACCAACTTTTCAAGTTATTTCCAATTACTTTGAAAAAATCTCTCACCACAGACGATTTTTAGAAAATCCTCTTGATCCTTTATTGAAGCCTATAGATGGCTGTCTGATATCATGCCCGTCCCTAATCGTCTTTTTACTCTCCAAAGATTGCTATGTGCCTTTCGGATGTTTTACTCAGCTAAACTTTCACTCCCACATGCATTTTCAATGCCGCCTTCGACCAAGTTACGCCTTGTGGAACTACCCAGTAACGCCCACTGCTGAAATGACCTCACCGATGGCCTGAGCGCTGAAATTGGAATAGCCTAAATTCCTGGGGATTTGGAGCGACACGGGGGTAGTGATAGCATCGCAGAAGGACAGCAAAATTATCCTAGGTCAATAGAGGCCCGGTGCAGCTCAACAACCATCTTGCTTTTGTGCCACATTGGTAATTTCGGCACACAGAACCAAAAAAACACACCCTTACCATGAATTGAGTGTATACATGTATGGTAACACTGTGACATTCAGAAAGCAAAGATCCAAATACTTTTTTTTGTGATCAAATGTTTATTTAGTAATAATAGTCAGCAAACATGAATACATACACACAAAATGAAGCTACACCCCCTTCCCCCCATCCCAATACCACCCGAGGCCCTAAGGGATCAAATTAAATAACAGATCCACATACATTGTGACATTGTGCACTTGTATAGCCTGCCCGACTGTATCTAAAATGCCATGTAGTCCGCAAATCCGCAAATTGCGCATACGCACGACTATCAATTTAGTCGGATATTTGCTCTCCATACTGAATCCTTGATACTGCTGCCACCATGTGAAAACGATAGCCCACAAGTCTTCAAATTAATATTTTTGAATAGGCCTATAGTAGCTGTAGCTTTCTCTTAACCCATAAGAACACAACATATTGTTTGTGTGGCCAAATACTGAATGGTCAATATAAATAACTGAAATGACCTTTGAACAGATTCCCAAATCCCAGACTAGCTTTAATGATGAAACTACAGCCTAAGTTACATGCACAACAGGAATTGCAGTCACAAAGAAATGCTGAAACACAGTAATATCTTTGAGTTCATCATACTTTATTCATTTCTTATTCTTTAAAAAACAAGGCAGCAATGTAAAATCTACTAATTAATAAATGTATAAAATGTATATCTTGATGGGACACATATTACTGCTTACAACACTGTCCTGAACAGGGCCAGCACTAGCCTTTTGGGGGCCTTGAGCAACACAAGCAAAACATTTTTGTGGTCCCATCTTGACGGTGGAGAGAAACATTTTTACGTTTTCTGCAATTCTACACATTTTACCATGGTGCGTATAGAAAATGTAGCAGTTTTAAAGCAAGTTTTCTACAATTCTACACATTTTGACAAGGGGCGGAGAGAACATTTAGCAATTTTATAACTAACTTCATGCAATTCTACACATTTTGCCATGGGGTAGAGAAACGTTTGCAATTTTACAGCTGATTTCCTGCAATTTTACACAATTTGCCATGACTTATGCCATGTTAAAGGAATACTTTGGGATTTTGACAATGAGGCTCTTTATCGACTTCCCAAGAGTCGTGGATACCATTTGAATGTCTCTGTGTGCGGTTTGAAGGAAGTTGCTAGCTAGTGCTATCGCAATGTCTAACTAGCGTTAGCGCAATGACTGGAAGTCTATGGGTATCTGCTGGCTTGCTAGCAGATACCCATAGACTTCCAGTCATTGCGCTAACACTAGTTAGCATTGGCTCCCGAAACTACCTCTAACGTCCCTCATACTGGACACAGAGACATAAAAATGGTATCCACAAGTTCTTCTGACTCCGGGGAAGTAGATAAAAGGCCTCATTGCCGAAATCCCGAAGTATCCCTTTAATATGATATCTGAGTGAGAATGACTACCAAAATCAATGGGGGCCCCCTGGAGGTCAGGGCCCCTTGGCATGTACCCTGCGTGCCCAGTCAGTAATTTGGCCATGATTACTACAATGTTTAGATAGCCGGCTAGACTAACTAACCAATAAAAATTTGTTTAGCTGACATGGGCTAATTCAGTGACTGTCAGTGACTGACATAAGAGAAAAACTGCTGATGCAATACCAAATTTTGAAATTGTAACTCTCAACAGTAAGTTCAGACCCCCTAGTGGCCGGGGGCCCTTATGCCTTATGGTCCTGACAGTGGCTAGGACATTCAGCATCTCATTATTTGTTTAAGGCAACTTTGGACCCAGCAGGGGCAGATAACATTGATGGATAGCTTCAGTAGTATGGTTAACAGCTGAGAGCGGGTTTGAAGCCTCCTCATCTCTTCTATTAGCTGTCGCCTTGAAGCAGTGGCTGCATGTGGAAACATTAAGTTAGTTAAAAACACAAAGGAGTTGAATACATCTGTGAATACATTTTCACCTAGTATGAATATAGTATTGCAAAATAAAATAGCATTTTCAAATGTAATTCAAATAATGAATCTGTTTTAGATCAAATAGGGTTTATAACCGTCTCACAACACACAATACTGTACTTATAAAACAATACAAACAGCTATGAAGATATTACAGCTCTACCCACATACACAAATCTGTTATGGTTTTTACACATCATATTCAGTGCAGCACTCGGTCAGGACATCTGACTTGGCAACATGACATCAGAAGGTTTGTTGCACTCACACTGTAGCCCAGGTCCTCACTTCTAGGCTCTGGTCGCTGCCAATTCTGATTGGAGAGAATCTTCAGGACGACCAATCCAAAGGCTACGATCAAGACTCCTAACGAGTTGGCGACCAATGCCTCAGGTGGCAGGTTGCCATATGGCTTTGTCCCATTGGTGGTTCCTTTCCTGAATAAATAATCAATACAACACTTTGTATACAGTTTGAATAATATTGTCCAACATAAGTAGATGTCTTTAGCTATATTATGGAAATATGTGTTTATACAGTACATTGTTTCCTACTCAATAAAAAATATATACAATGTGTCCCAAATGGCAACCTATTCCCAAGTACAGTGTTTCTCAATCCTGGTCCTAGGGACTCAAAGGGGTGCACATTTTTGTTTTTGCCCTAGCACTAACATACACACAGTGCATTCGGAAAGTATACAGACCCCTTGACTTTTTCCACATTTTGTTACGTTACAGCCTTATTCTAAAATGGATTAGATTGTTTTTTTCCCCTCATCAATCTACACACAATACCCCATAATGATAAAGCAAAAACAGGTTTTTAGATTTTTTTGCAATTGTATTAAAAATAGAAAACGTAAATATCACAATTACATAAGTATTCAGACCCTTTACTCAGGACTTTGTTGAAGCACCTTTGACAGCTATTACAACCTCGAGTCTTCTTTGGTATGACGCTACAAGCTTGGCACACCTGTATTTGGGGAGTTTCTCACATTCTTTTCTGCAGATCCTCTCAAACTCTGTCAGGTTGGATGGGGAGCGTCGCTTCACAGCAATTTTCAGGTCTCTCCAGAGATGTTAAATCGGGTTCAATCCGTTCATCTTCCCTCAATCCTGACTAGTCTCCCAGTCCCTGCCGCAGAAAAACCAAGGCCTTCTCCCCCGATTACTCAGTTTGGCAGGGGGGCCAGCTCTAGGAAGAGTATTGGTGGTTCCAAACTTCTTCCACTTAGGAATGATGGAGGCCACTGTGTTCTTGGGGACTTTCAATGCTGCAGACATGTTTTGTTACTCTTCCCCAGATCTGTGCCTCGACACAATCCTGTCTCGGAGCTCTACGGACACTTCCTTCGACCTCATTGCTTGGTTTTTGCTCTGACATGCACTGTCAACAGTGGGACAACTGTAGACAGGTGTGTGCCTTTCCAAATCATGTCCAATCAATTGAATATACCACAGGTGGACTTTAATCAAGATGTAGAAACATCTCAAGGATGATCAATTGAAACAGGATAAACCTGAGCTCAATTTCGAGTCTCATATCAAAGAGTCTGAATACTTATGTTTTTTTATTTTTAATACATTTGCAAAAACATCTAAAAACCTGTTTTCACTTTGTCATTATGGGCTATTGTGTGTAGATTGATGAGGAAAAAAAGTAATTTAATCAATTTTAGAATAAGGCTATAATGTAACAAAATGTGGAAAAAGTCAAGGGGTCTGAATACTTTCCGAATGCACTGTACCTGATTCAAATCAATGGCTTGATGATGATGAGTTGATTAGTTGAATGAAGTGTTAGTGCTCCCAAAAAATAAAAAAGTGCTAGGGCAACAAACAAAAAGATGGCACCCCTTTGGGTCCCCAGGACCAGGATTGAGAAACACTGCCCTAGTGGATTGTTTTTCACCCAAAAGGGTTCTATGTGGAACCAAAAAGGGTTCTCCTGTGGGGACAACCGAAGAACCCTTTTGGAACATTAGCTGTGTCTCAAATAGCACCCTATGTCCCTTACAGTGCAAAGAAGAGCTTCTCGTTGATCCCTGAGATGCAGGACACGATGCTGAGTATCAGTATGCAGCCTCCCATCCACACATGGGCAGGCTTCAGCAGCTTGCGGAATGACATGGGTGAACAGGGCAGGAGGAAGCCAGCAAGGCCCATCACCCACTGAAAACAAAACAAACATATGTCAGCCTCTCACAGCCATAGAAAGTGGCATAACAAGTCTAACAATCACCATACATGCCAAGTAGGGCATAATACTTGTAGGCCATTCTATGGCATAATATGAGTTGACAGTTGTTTTAAGACAATGCTGTTTTAATTTGTGTGTTGGCAGTGGCAGATATACTAAACCTGAGTGGTGAAGAGTGCTGTAGTGCAAATGCCAATCCAGCTGTGCAAGGAGTAGAGGTTGGGAGTGTTGTTGGCATTGTGGAAGTCAAACACAGCACAGAGGCCAAGGACGGAGCAGAGCAGGGCCAGGAGCATGACACCAGCATGCAGCAGCTTCCAGGGTAGCTTATTCTGCCCCCATGTGAGGGGAACGCGGTACAGCACCGCTCCTAGAGGTTAGACAAGTCAAGATCCAAAATGTAAAAAGGCCAGCACTCACTTGACTTGGATATAAGTTGCAATTGAAGCTTTGTTTTAATTGTCTTTATCTCATGTATACAGTACACCAGGGCTATTCAACTATATTCTTACAGGGGCCAGATCTAAAAAAGTTAATTGGAAGAACTGTATAAAAAAGCAAAAAGTAATTCGGAAAGAAGTGGAAGGCGCTCAACCAACATGAGTCGAGGTGCAACCAAAACATTTTATAATCATTGAAAAGGAAAAGGCACAACGCTCGCTTACCGTTTTTTAATTTAATTTAAACAACTATTAAAAGCTTCTTCAAAGTAATTAGGTCATTTTAGAATGATCTGAAAACTAAGCATCTCAATAAATAACACAAGGATATGTTAAATCAGGTAATTTAAAATTCCAGGCTGAAGGAAGTATGCTTTGAATTCATTTCCCTCAGCCATTAGGTGTTTTTCTGTCACGCTCCCTTCTAACGATTCCTTGTGAGCACCAGAGAGGGAAACAGAAGGCACGTATTTGTTCCTGAGAGTCTTAGCTTTTAGGAATGGGGTCATAATATTGTGAAGATTAAACCGTTCAAACGCTAGAGCCAAACTCATATGAAGAAATAATAATCCATATAGGCGCTAGAACCAGCAAAAAAATTGCATTTTGGCACTGAATGTCAGATTTTGGCAGGGATTTTTTTGCTGATCTTTTATTAATGTTCAGAATTGATCAAAGGGCCAGTCTAAATTAATAAACGGTCCTGATCTGGCCCGCGGGCCGCCAGTTGAATAGCCTTGCAGTACACTGTCAATGTGGTTAAGTTCTTGACATGTCTACGGTGCAAGGGAAAGACGAGAAGGGAGCAGGGAAGGAAGTTAAGGTGGCTTTATTTAGCTTTCTATGTGCCGAAACACCAACACAGAATATCTTCATATCCTACATAACATAATATATCCAAACATGAGACCATCATTCATTGTGATTTAAATGCTTTCAGTTCTTACTTCCAATTAATGTCTGAGACACATTCATCTGCATCAACAAGGGAAAGTGAAACCACTTGATTGTAGTTTCACTACAACTAACTAAAGCCACTCACCTACATAGAAAACCTCCATATATAACACAAACTATCCAAACATGAGACCGTCAGTGCAATTAAAAAACGTCAAGTTCTCATTTCAAAGGCTGAGACACATCCGCCTGCACCAAAGACTGGAAGTAAAAGCACTTCCTGAGCCACTCACCATTGCCGTAGAGCACGACCAGACCTGTGACCATCAGGACAGGGTGCCAGTTAAACTGAAGGGGCGAGCCATCCCAGGCAAAGCCACCACGCCACTGGGAGTTCCAGATGGACACAAACACCACACAGGCGATCCCCAGGCACAGGCACAGCAGGTAGCAGAAGTAGAAAGACACGATGGATCTCATCCTGGTGGAACAATCTGCAAGTTAGTTTGAAGACACAAGAAAAAATGGAAAGAAAGTTATTTAATGGAATTGCATGGTTATAGAAGTCTGGACATTTTCAGAGTAGGAACAAACCTCCACTCTGAGAAGTGTGAAGCAGGTGAAATGGACAATAATAAAAGCATAGGCTATATAGAAAAAACATACGTTCAGTTTGTCCTGACTATCTTGTCTAGCAGTCAACACAACATGAGCAGATCTCTTAGCAAGATAAGACAGCTCAAGTGTGATTCTGTTTCTGTTCCACCTCTGTGTCTAGCGGCTTGAAAAATCCCTAAATGGTTTCTGACCAAAAGCCGTTGGGTCTAAATACCTCAATCTGACTCCTACGTCTAACGAAACGACATAGGATGCTGCGTTCATATCCAAGTGGGGTGGTGGTAATACCCAGTTGTGAAGTCGTAAATACGAGTTGGAGGCATTCACGTGCTTTGAACTAATTGACAAACGTCGATTTGCTAATGGCAAAAAAGCTGCTAAAAGTACAGCTATCATACTCGCAAACAAATTATAGTGTTAAAAAAAAACATGAATAGATTGTTTGTTATAAATAATGTTTTGTTGTTGCATTTAACTGCCGGAAATACTGTTATCATGGTCATTTTCTTAATATGTGACGTCAGAGTTGGAGGGCAGTTCAACAGGTTTTTCCCCAGTCGTATGCGGTAAATACCATCTTCCCACTTGGTTATGAATGCACCATTAGGCTACTCACAATGGCCCTTGATTTCAGTTCCTGTTTCACTGTGTCAACTGCTAACTCACTTCCACATTCCCCTGTCTCATTCCACTGGTTTAGGGGTAAGCACTCAGATGGGGTTGAACAGGTGTTAGGTGGGGTATAGTCTTGCATATGGTCAGGTGCCCTAAATGAAAATAGTAAAGCATCACAAATAGACTTACAGTTGAAGTCAGAAGTTTACATACACTTAGGTTGGAGTCATTAAAACTTGTTTTTCAACCACTCCACAAATTTCTTGTTAACAAACTATAGTTTTGGCAAGTCGGTTAGAACATCTACTTTGTGCATGACACAAGTAATTTTTCCAACAATTGTTTACAGACAGATTATTTCACTTATAATTCACTGTATCACAATTCCAGTGGGTCAGAAGTTTACATACACTAAGTGGACTGTGCCTTTAAACAGCTTGGAAAATTCCAGAAAATTATGTCATGGCTTTAGAAGCTTCTGATAGGCTAATTGACATCATTTGAGTCAATTGGAGGTGTACCTGTGGATGTATTTCAAGGCCTACCTTCAAACTCAGTGCCTCTTTGCTTGACATCATGAGAATATCAAAAGAAATCAGCCAAGACCTCAAAAAAAGAATTGTAGACATCCACAAGTCTGGTTCATCCTTGGGAGCAATTTCCAAACGCCTGAAGGTACCACGTTCATCTGTACAAACAATAGTACACAAGTATAAACACCATGGGACCACGCAGCTGTCATACTGCTCAGGAAGGAGACACGTTCTGTCTCCTAGAGTTTAATGTACTTTGGTGCAAAAAGTGCAAATCAATCCCAGAACAACAGCAAAGGACCTTGTGAAGATGCTGGAGGAAACAGGTACAAAAGTATCTATATCCACAGTAAAAAACGAGTCCTATATCGACATAACCTGAAAGGCCGCTCAGCAAGGAAGAAGCCACAGCTCCAAAACTGCCATAAAAAAGCCAGACTACGGTTTGCAACTGCACATGGGGACAAAGATGGTACTTTTTGGAGAAATGTCCTCTGGTCTGATGAAACAAAAATAGAACTGTTTGGCCATAATGACCATCGTTATGTTTGGAGGAAAAAGGGGGGACTTGCAAGCCGAAGAACACCATCCCAACCGTGAAGCACAAGGCTGGCAGCATCATGCTGTGGGGGTGCTTTGCTGCAGGAAGGACTGGTGCACTTCACAAAATAGATGGCATCATGAGGAAGGAAAATTATGTGGATATATTGAACCAACATCTCAAGACATCAGTCAGGAAGTTAAAGCTTGGTCGCAAATGGGTCTTCCAAATGGACAATGACTCCAAGCATACTTCCAAAGTTGTGGCAAAATGGCTTAAGGACAACAAAGTCAAGGTATTGGAGTGGCCATCACAAAGCCCTGACCTCAATCCTATAGAACATTTGTGGGCAGAACTGAAAAAGTGTGTGCGAGCAAGGAGGCCTACAAACCTGACTCAGTTACACCAGCTCTGTCAGGAGGAATGGGCCAAAATTCACCCAACTTATTGTGGGAGCTTGTGGAAGGCTACCCGACACGTTTGACCCAAGTTAAACAATTTAAAGGCAATGCTACCAAATACTAATTGAGTGTATGTAAACTTCTGACCCACTGGGAATGTGATTAAAGAAATAAAAGCTTAAATAAATCACTCTACTATTATTCTGACATTTTCACATTCTTAAAATAAAGTGGTGATCCTAACTGACCTAAAACAGGGACTTTTTACTAGGATTAAATGTCAGGAATTGTGAAAAACTGAGTTTAAATGCATTTGGCTAAGGTGTATGTAAACTTCCGACTTCAACTGTAGATAGACATGGCATCATTGTATCTGTCCCATTGTGGTGTCTTTGAGAGCACAGGCAGCGCCATTTAGGCCATCTGCATTTTGAAATAGTCAATTTTCTTCTTCTACTACTTCTATAAGTTGGCAACAAGGGGCCTGGGTTCTGGTCTAGAAGCAAGGTTTCGACTGCTCCTACAGTTTTGCTTCGGTATGGCAGTTTAACTGACGCCAGGCCCAGAAAGACAATTTGCATAGACCTCTGTAGCTCAGCTGGTAGAGCACGGCGCTTGTAACGCCAAGGTAGTGGGTTCGATCCCCGGGACCACCCATACACAAAAATGTATGCACGCATGACTGTAAGTCGCTTTGGATAAAAGCGTCTGCTAAATGGCATATTATTATTATTATTAAGTCATATTTGAAAATTCCTAATAAGAAACTTTGGTCATCTCCTTTGTGCACAAAACATCCATTGAATTATTAAAATAATCGTCGCTGAGGCCGTTTTTTTTTTCTCCCCATCACACACAGCTGAACATATTAACATTTTATATTCATCCAATGTCTGCCATGTTTTTGGATGATGTCGTTGCTGCTCTCTGTGTGTACTGAGTGCTAGTGCGCATGTGAACCAGATACATCCCGGATATAGACTGTCCATAAATCGGCGTATGCGAACAACGGTCAGACATATTGGACACAGTCTCCAGTTCTTATTATACCTCAGTGGCTGGCAAACATACTGATATGGTGCACACTTTGAACAGGTATAAAGCCAAGGTTGGCAATTTACTGCCACCTGCATTTATGGAATGTTTCCACATGAGTATAATTCATTATCTGATCCCTCCTGATGACCTGGATGGAATCATGTGGTCCTTTCTTAACCCATAGGAAGTCCCACCCAGTTGATTATTTCAAAATGCTGAAAGTCCTCAAGTTAAAATGAGCTTTCGGGCACTAGTGTCCTCTATCTATCTCTATGGCATCACATCCATGATGCATTGTGGGTAAATTGTGACGACTAACCTATAAATAATAAGTAGGCCTTGCTAGTTATTTATGATGCAAGGTTATTTGTAGATCAGTTTTTCAGCTGTTGCCTGCACTGTCGAACAAGCCCAGTTTCTATGCCAAGGATTTCGCTACACCAGCAATAACATCTGCTAAACACGTGTATGTGACAAATAACATTTGATTTGAAATGGCACCCCATTCCCTATAGCGCACTACTTTTGACGAGGGCCCGTACTAATTTAAGAGCACAGGGATGGGGGGAGGGTCAGAATGCACCTTGCCATAATATAATAATAATAATATGCCATTTAGCAGACGCTTTTATCCAAAGCGACTTACAGTCATGCCATAAAGAGAAACATTGAGCATGAATTATGTCTAAACAAAACTAAGGGCTTTTGAATCCTGAGGATATCAAACAGGTCTCACAAGAAAAATACTAGCTAGCTATGCACTGTCACCCTGAGGTTGTCTAGCTTATAATACAGTAAGATACAGTGTGAATATTGTAGGCTACACATGCAACAAGCCACATATGATATAAATCAAAGTGCACATATCGGTAAAAACTCAAATAATGGAAAAGATTCCAGGAAGAAATTGGTCAAAGCCACATATGCCACAAACTGAACAGAAAAACATCCAAGTTAGCTACTTAGCTAGCTAGCTAACAAAGCTGTTGTTGATTTACCCGAGTTCATGAGCACACATAACGTTAGCTAGCTAGTTAAAACTTGAAACAATTCAGCACTGATAGCTTCCTACCTAATTTACGATTCTTCCATATCAGCTTAGATCGAGATAATTAAATATTAGTTATAACTATTGCCAAATGTTGTAAAGTTTAGAAATAAATGATATTCAACCAGCGGCTGCTGGTGTTTATACAAGTCACATTTCCTTATTAACCCCGTAAGGCATCATGGGAAATGTAGTCTAGGATACACAAGATAAACTATATGTGCACGAACTGCCATAGTACGCAACAACAACAACAGTACCGTGTTGCACTGAATCTGTCTGTTGAAAATAGACTCAATCTCTCTAGCTAACAAAGCTGTTGCTTGTATTATGAAGCCAAGATCAATTATATAAATAATCATGGCAAAAAAAACGTTGGAGTACTTTAAATGAAATTATGGGCAGAAAGACAAATTCAACTCCATCCTTCATCGAATCAGATGACTCATTCATCACAAAACCATTTGATATTGCCAAATATTTTATTGATTACGTCATTGGCAAATTGGGCAAATTTAGGCAGGAAATGCCAACAACGAACAGTGAGCCATTGTATTCATGTATATATTAAAAGAAAAATATGAAAGAAAAGCATTGTAAGTTAGAATTTGGTAAATTTAGTTGAAAAAGTATTGTTATCGATCAATAATGAAAAAACCTCCTGGCATGAACAACTTAGATGGAACGCTACTGAGGATGGTAGCTGACTCTATAGCCACTCCTATCTGTCATATCTTTAATCTGAGCCTAGAGGAAAGTGTTTGTCTTCAGGCCTGGAGGGAAGCCAAAGTAACTCCACTACCCAAGAATGGTAAAGCGGCCTTTAGTGGTTCTAACAGCCGACCTATCAGCTTGCCAGCTCTTAGCAAACTGCTGGAAAAAATTGTGTTTGACCAAATACAATGCTATTTCTCCCTAAACAAATCAACAACAGACTTTCAGCATCCTTATAGAGAAGTGCACTCAACATGTACTGCACTGATACAAATGACTGATGATTGGTTGAAAGAAATTGATAATAAGATTGTGTGAGCTGTACTGTTAGACTTCAGTACAGCCTTTGATATTATTGACCATAACCTGTTGTTGAAAAAACGTATGTTATGGCTTTTCAACCTCTGCCATATCGTGGATTCAGAACTATCTACAGTTGAAGTCGGAACTTTACATACACTTAGGTTGGAGTCATTAAAATTCGTTTTTCAACCACTCCACAAATTTCTTGTTAACAAACTATAGTTTTGGCAAGTCGGTTAGGACATCTACTTTCTGCATGACACAAGTAATTTTTCCAACAATTGTTTACAGAAAGATTATTTCACTTATAATTCACTGTATCACAATTCCAGTGGGTCAGAAGTTTACATACACTAAGTTGATTGTGCCTTTAAACAGCTTGGAAAATTCTAGAAAATGATGTCATGGCTTTAGAAGCTTCTGATAGGCTAATTGACGTCATTTGAGTCAATTGGAGGTGTACATGTGGATGCATTTCAAGGCCTACCTTCAAATTCAGTGCCTCTTTGCTTGACACCATGGGAAAATCAAAAGAAATCAGCCAAGACCTCAGAAAAAAGATTGTAGACCTCCACAAGTCTGGTTCATCCTTGGGAGAAATTTCCAAACGCTTGAAGGTACCACGTTCATCTGTATAAACAATAGTATGTAAGTATAAACACCATGGGACCACGCAGCCGTCAGGAAGGAGACGCGTTCTGTCTCCTAGAGATGAACGTACTTTGGTGCGAAGTGCAAATCAATCCCAGAACAACAGCAAAGGACCTTGTGAAGATGCTGAAGGAAACAGGTACAAAAGTATGTATATCCACAGTAAAAAACGAGTCCTATATCGACATAACCTGAAAGGCCGCTCAGCAAGGAAGAAGCCACAGCTCCAAAACCGCCATAAAAAAGCCAGACTACGGTTTGCAACTGCACATGGGGACAAAGATCGTACTTTTTGGAGAAATGTCCTCTGGTCTGATGAAACAAAAATAGAACTGTTTGGCCATAACGACCATCGTTATGTTTGGAGGAAAAAGGGGGCTGCTTGCAAGCCGAAGAAAACCATCCCAACCGTGAAGCACGGGGGTGGCAGCATCATGCTGTGGGTTGCTTTGCTGCAGGAGGGACTGGTGCACTTCACAAAATAGATGGCATCATGAGGAAGGAAAATTATGTGGATATATTGAAGCAACATCTCAAGACATCAGTCAGGAAGTTAAAGCTTGGTCGCAAATGGGTCTTCCAAATGGACAATGACCCCAAGCATACTTCCAAAGTTGTGGCAAAATGGCTTAAGGACAACAAAGTCAAGGTATTGGAGTGGCCATCACAAAGCCCTGACCTCAATCCTATAGTGGGCAGAACTGAAAAATCGTGTGCGAGCAAGGAGGCCTACAAACCTGACTCAGTTACACCAGCTCTGTCAGGAGGAATGGGCCAAAGTTCACCCAATTTATTGTGGGAAGCTTTTGGAAGGCTACCCGAAACATTTGACCCAAGTTAAACAATTAAAAGACAATGCTACCAAATACGAATTGAGTGTATGTAAACTTCTGACCCACTAGGAATGTGATGAAAGAAATAAAAGCTGAAATAAATCATTCTCTCTACTATTATTCTGACATTTCACATTCTTAAAATAAAGTGGTGATCCTAACTGACCTAAGACAGGGAATTTTTACTAGGATTAAATGTCAGGAATTGTGAAAAACTGAGTTTAAATGTATTTGGCTAAGGTGTATGTAAACTTCAGACTTCAACTGTATCTAATAGAACACATAGGGTTTTCTTTAATGGAAGCTTCTCTAATGTTAAACATGTAAAGTGTGATGTACCGCAGGGCAGCTCTCTTGGCCCACTCTTTTCTATTTTTACCAATGACCTGTGACTGGCATTAAACAAAGCCTGGGTGTCCATGTATGCTGATGATTCAACCATATACACGTCAGCAACCACAGCTAGTGAAATCACTCTAACCCTAAACAAAGAGTTACAGTCAGTTTTAGAATGGGTGTCCAGTAATAAACTGAACATCTCTAAAACTAAGAGCATTCTATTTAGTACAAATAATTCCCTAAGTTCTAGACCTCAGCTGAATCTAGCAGTGAATGGTGTGGCTGTTGAGCAAGTTGAGGAAACTAAATTACTTGGAGTTACCTTATATTGTAAACTGTCATGGTCAAAATATATAGATTCAATGGTTGTAAAGATGGGGAGAGGTCTGTCCGTGATAAAGAGATGCTCTGCTTTTCTGGCACTACACTCCAAAAAGCTAGTTCTGCAGGCTCTAGTTTTATCTGATCTTGATTATTGTCCAGTCATATGGTCAAGTGCTGCAAAGAAGGACCTAGTTAAGCTGAAGCTGGCCTAAAACAGAGCGTCAAGTTTCGCTCTTCATTGTAACTAGAGGGCTAATATCAATACTATGCATGCCAGTCTCTATTGGCTAAGAGTTGAGGAAGACTGACTGCATCACTTAATGTTTTTATAAGAAACATTGTGTTGGAAATTCCAAATTGTTTGCACAGTCAACTTACATTGCATGGAACTTCATATAATGCAAGTGAACAGCACAACGCCTCTCCCCCATGTGACCTACTTTTGTGTGTATGTACTGACATGTATGTGTAACTGATAGATGCACACACACACGCACATTACATGTTAATGTTTTAAATGTATGTCAATTGTAAAGTATTTAATCTGTAATGTATTTTTCTTGATGTGTGGGACCCCAGTAATATTAGCTGTTGCCATTGGCGTAGGGTAATGGGGATCCTAATCAAATAAATCTCTATTATTTTAAGGACTGGTTGTCACTAAATGTTCCTATGTGTGTTCGATTTATAGGCAACATAGGCTCACTGCATGATCTATTGTGACTAGGCTCCTTGCTAATACTGCCTCCTTGTGGCAATGAAAGGAAGTGGTCTCTCGAAAGTGACACTAACCGACCCTGTTTTTTACATTTTAGTCATTTAGCAGACGCTTTTATCCAGAGCGACTTACAGTTAGTGAGTGCATACATTTTCATACTGGCCCCCCGTGGGAATCGAACCCACAACCCTGGCGTTGCAAGCGCCATGCTCTACCAACTGAGCTACGGGGCCACTGCAGGTGTGTGAGCACAAGGCAGCAGTATAGCAGGTGAAGATGAAAATATTTCAGCCCTCAGTGAATTGGCATAGTTTCAGTCTCTTCCTCAATGTCAGCAAGACAAGAGCTGATCGTGGGCTACAGGAAACGGCGGGCTGAGCACGCCCCATCCATATCAATGGGTCTGTAGTGGAGCAGGTTGAGAGCTTCAAGTTCCTCGATGTCCACATCACTAAGGAATTATCATGGTCCACACACACCAATACAGTCGTGAAGAGGGCACGACAACGCCTCTTCCCCCTCAGGAGGCTGAAAAGATCCTCAAAAAGTTCTACAGCTGCACCATTGAGAACATCTTGACTGGCTGCATCACTGCTTGGTATGGCAACTGCTTGGCAAGGCGCTACAGAGGGTAGTGCGGATGTCCCAGTACATCACTGGGGCCGAGCTCCCTGCCATCCAGGACCTCTATACCAGGCGGTGTCAGGGGAAGGCCCTAAAAATTGTCAAAGACTCCAGCCACCATGGTCATAGACTGTTCTCTCTGCTACTGCACGGCAAGCGGTACCGATGCACCAAGTCTCTAACCAACAGGACCCTGAACAGCTTCTACCCCCAAGCCACAAGACTGCTAAATAGTTAAATAGTTAACCAATAGCTACCCGGACTATCTGCATTGACCCTTTTTGCACTAACTCTTTTGACTCATTATATACGCTGCTGCTACTGTTTATTATCTATCCTGTTGCCTAATCACTTTATCCCTACCTGTATGTACATATCTACCTCAATTACCTTGTACCTGTCACGGATTCTCCCGGTACTGCTGCTCATTTCGTTCACCAGCTCTGGAGGTCTACGTCACCGGCCTTCTAGGTGTAACTGAACTAGATCATTACCACCAACCCCGGACTGTCTTGTCTCATTACGCACACCTGGTTCCCATTCCCCCTGATTAGTATGTGCATATATGTGCCCTCTGTTCCCCATTGTCCTTGTCGATTATTGTCTCATGTCTGTTGGTCTCGTGAGTACCGTGTATTGTGCTCTTGTTGTTTACGGGTATTGTATTGTGTA